ACTGGCAGAGCATTTCAAATACCACTACGGCAATTAAAATAGTAACGATTATAGCATTTAATCACATATTTTATCGCAAACAAAGGTTGTTTGAACAGCCGGCTGTGTAATTAACACCTGTCACACAAGTTGTTCGCAGCCAGATAATGTGTGAAAAATGTATCGAGATAGAAGGTGTCAAAATAATCGAACGACTTCGACTTATTTGTGGTAAATTGCACTGTATTTACTTTATATGGACCACGAAAAAACTTCGACACATCAAAAAATTCGACACATAAAATCCCGACTCATAAATAGGTTTTTATAGGGAATAAATAGGGGGAAAATCGGGACTTTCATTTTTCTTCGACACATCGAGAAAATCGACTAATCGAAGTTCGACTCATAGAAGTTCTACTGTATTTTCGGATAGGAAAAGTATTCGGTAAAGAAACTAAAGCAAAACTAGTTCGGACAAAGATGTGTTTCCTGAAAAAAGACTCTGATTTCGATATATTTCTTATCAATTGAGCATAGTAGTGGATAACAATATTTTGGATGATTTCTATATACTAAAACAAGAATGACAAGTTAAGTTGTTGTAAACTCTTTATATTAATCGGACAAACAAACAGACGGCTAGGATAACAAAACAGAATAAAATTACAACGAAATATAATAATAAATAAAATGTTAGATGTACAAAATAAAAAGCATATAGAATATATACCAGACAAAACTTTTTTTTTTCATAAATATATTTCGTGTCAAATGCTCATAATTATATAGCCGTATCGGTCAAAGTAACAAATCTGTTTTTTTTTTCTATAGATAGAATTTCAAGCTTCATTTAGTACATATAAAGTGACATATAACAAAATCCACTATATTAACACCCGTATTAAAGTTACACTTAAAACAAATATAAATACAAATACATGTACAGTATACAATTCTATAAAAAATTTGTAGACACAAAATCTAGAAAAATATCGTTCGCCCTATTACACGAGACATAAACAGTAAAACTATGGATATTCTATTTAATGAGTGTAATATAATTTTAGTACAGAATCTACATGTACAAATTATTCGTAGAATGAAAAAAGAATATATGAGCCGCGTCACGACAAAACCAACGTAATGCGTTTGCGACCAGCATGGATCCAGACCAGCCTGCGCATCCGCGCAGTCTTATCAGGATCCATGCTGTTCGCTATCAGTTTCTCTACTTGTTGTAGGTTTGTAAGTGGACAGCATGGATCCTGATCATGCTGGTCGCAAACGCATTATGTTGGTTTTGTCGTGGAGCGGCTCACATATACCTCGTCTAAATGAGCTCCACTGAGGTATTGATGCCTAGAAAATGTAAGATATACAAAAAATCTTACACAGATCAGCTTGGACACTGCAAATGAAAATGGAAATTTTTATATAAAGAACAATAAAAAGACAATATTGAAATATACTCAGAATCAAAGTAAGAATTGATTTTAGTGCGATTCTTAGTTCGATTTGAGTTAAAAGCGTTTTTAAACGCTATTCATTTTTTAGATCATTTTGCACAATAAAATTGTATATAGAAAATAAAAGTATATTCTGTTAGAACGAATTGACCGAATGACCTGTTTTTATACAAATAATCACGTATACCTACGTTAAAAGGTATAAAAATCTTGAGAAAAAAAAATCTAGTCATGTCACGTCAAAACACCTCAGTGGAGTTCCTTTAGGATATCATTCTAGACATAAAAAATCACTGATCATTACTCTTTAAAAACAGAGAGAAAAAAAATATACGCTTGTATTTATAATACTCAAGAAGAGGCAAAAACAACTTAAATGTAGACAGTTGTATCCGGGCTACAAACTCCAAGCAATAGCGGAAACTTTGACCTTTGGACTTTCAAACCCATTATAAGCGTTACGACTAACAGGAAAAGTCAGCTGTTACCGGAGCAGCACCTACTCCCTATATTTTGGCTCCAAACCGAAACCTAGCATTGCCGAGAAATAGGGCGGGGATTACAAACGACTGGGACATTACAAGATATCAAGAGTCTCCACCGGGCGGGGGCAACGCTCCACGTTTTTACTTTTTCTAAAAGCAAACAAATAAAAGGTACAAGTAAAATGGTTTCCTGCGGGGAATATTTTTGATGATATATAGATATTTCATTTAACTATCGGGTGGGTGGATAAATAAACGTTTGTATCAGGAATATAGTTGACAATAATCGATCAATATAGAAGAAGGCCTTTTGAAACTGGTGACCGTTAATGACCGGAGAAGGTCGAACATAAAACAATTATTTCTTTTTAAGAAAATGATTAAATAGGCCTACCATTTTATGAATAATTCCGAGCAAAAAAAAAAGCAAACACACAAGTTTTCGCAGAAAACATCTCTATTTATTATGGCAGATGCCACTACGAATATTTTAATTTTGTAGATTTTCAGTATAAACAATTTATTGTTTGTAACATTTTGAGATACATATTAAAGAAACATTGTTAATTTTCAAACACATCATTCAAGTTTTTCCACCTTAAACGGTATTATAATTATAGAAAATTAAAAATATCACGTAATAGTTTTTTGTTCTTAATTAGGTGTAATTCTGACTTATTCCATAGAGGATTATCCGTAACGTACCGGCAAACGGTATTTAGCCAGGTTTTCGAAAAGGTCAATTAACCAATCATGTACGGTTTACAGATCACATGCTCCTCCATGTACCGAAAACAGGTCACGTGCTCCTCCATGCCTCAAAAGTTAAACGCGTACCAATACCCTGCGGTCTCCAGACCGCAGGGAATAAAGAAATCTTTCAAAAGAAAATTAAAGGAAAAAAATAGTTTCTCCTTTTTTAACTTCAATAGGTAGGTCTAGTCACCCTTGTTTTGTCCAAGTATGAATCATTTCCATAATGTTCAAAGTTCAATTTTACACGTGGTCCACATTTCAAAGCTGTACATCAGAGGACAAGAAAGTAGATATCTTTGTCAAATTATCAATCTCAGCTGATATAAAAGTTCAATTTTACATCTAAAACTATGATCCAAATCGTATTACTATAGGATAATATAGGAGAATTTCATTAATTTGACCTTGACGGTCAAGGTCAATTAAAAATCAAGGTCACACTTTTATTATTCAAAATGTTTGTTTGGTAGACAGTCTTGTTTTGTCAAAGTATAAATCAAATGGTTCGTACTTAAATAACAAAATTATTACAATTCAACCAAAATTCAATAATTTAACGGTCAATGTCATTTAAAGATCAAGGTCAACTCTACCTTTTAGATGTACTTGACCAAAAGGCTGTTTTGTCCAAATATGCAGATAATCCATAGATTAAATTTTACCAAGTTACAGTCAATTATTGCAAAGATCGGTGAAAATTCAATAATTCAAGGTCAATGTTAAAAATGAGTCATTGTCAATTTGGGTTTGATATACATTTAGGTTTTATCATAGAAATGTCCTGTCTTAATATGAAGTCGATCCATTCATTCATAAGAAAGTTATAGCCAGTTTCAGCACACATAAAATGAAAATTTCAATAATTTGACCTTTAAGATCAAGGTCATTTATGAGTAAGCACAAGGTCTGACTGGTTCAATTGAAGGTCTATCCTAAAAGATTGTTTTGATCAAGTTTGAAGGCAAACCATTCAAAAATAACAAAGTAATAGCATAAATCCAACAAAAATTAGACAGTTTACCTTAAAGGTCAAGGTCATTCATGAATGAAGGCCAAGTTAAAATAGCTACACGAGTTTACAAATTAACAGATCTAAAAACTGGTTACATTTATTCAAAGGTTTTCTGCGTATTTCAAAATATGGTTTTCGAATGTTATTGCATATAGCATATTCGATGTATTACGTCTGCAAAAATACTTTCAAAAATAATAAATTAATGTCAAAGAAAATAAATATATTTAGTTCTTTGGTCAAAAGAAATTCATTGTAACAATTCTGACAGCTTCGTAATATTCCGTCACTTTCCGTTTCTTCTACGATTTATTGATAAGACAGTATCTCCAAAAATATACTGTCGCTTACAGCATTTTAATAGTAATATACGTGTCACCGTTCAGAACTGTTCACTATTTAGGGGAGAAAATGTGTAAGCGGCCGGATGACTCAATCGGTAGAGCCGCGGTACGGTGTTCCGAGGGTCCCGGGTTCGAGTCCCGGTCAGGCTGCACATCTTTCTCACCCTGTGACATTTGGCGCCAAACGGGGACCATGACTGTATATAGCTCAGAGTTAATTCACATTGCTCTATAACTCTGTGAAAATCGAGGACGAATTTCAATATAGCACGGGAGTATGTCACGGTTCAGAACTGTTCACTATTTAGGGGAGAAGATGTGCAAGCGGCCGGATAGTTCAGTCGGTATAGTCGCGTTACGGTATTCCGAGGGTCCCGGGTTCGAGTCCCGGTCAGGCTGCACATCTTTCTCACCCCGTGACATACGGAAAGTGCTGAAATATACCGAACTAAAATATTTGTTACCGTAACTTGATTTATGATAAATGGAAAGTGTTCAAACGTCTTTAAAGGTCTAAATATTAAACAAACGTGAACAAATAAAGCAGTCGCAAAGGCACATGCGAAAGTTGTCTTTGCCGTGTTACATGACAATAAACCTATTAGATTAAGTCTTAATTCGCATTAAAATGAAAACTTAAAGTAGGTAGTGAAATCATGTATCTATACAGATTTTGTTTGTTTGTTTGGTTTTTTTTAAATTTTATAAGGGATTAATTGGAATTAGAAAAAAATGTTCTCTGAAATATATGATAATGCACATAAGAAAATTCTGCAATGGTATTAATCGACAACTAAGTGCAGTATATTCCAAAAAGAAGTACCAATGGAAGCTACATATGCAGGGTTCGGGAGCTTACTTTGGTCACAGAAGTTCGACAAGACAACGCATGTGTATGCACAGTGCATCGAATACAGCCAAACATAAGTAAAATCCCGAAACCTGTCATACCTATGCCATAGTCTTCACTAAGAAAGGGTATCATTGTTGCTGATCTCCGCTCAAGCATATTTTTCCGCAACAACATTAGTTATGACATCTCTGTCTGTAAGGCTGAACTGTGGAACAAACTTTAAGTCAGTATGTAACATTCCATTAACCAATCGAACCAGCAATCCTTTGTTGAAAGTCCACTGTAAGATGTACATGGTCAAGGCCCCTGAGCGTGCGCAGATAGTCAAAGCTGTTTTTCTGTTCTTGTGTTTTGATACCTAAACTATCATATAGTTTCCTGAGGCCTGTACCACGTGCTTTCTCTATGGTACTCAAATATTCCGCTTCCGAGACGACACGTATTTTCTGCGACTCCGATTCTGCGGATTCTCGTATTTCTTTCGCCTGATTTTTTATTTCTGCTACCTAAAATTATATTAATATTAAGTTGAACATTAACTTTTTAGTTTTTTTAACTAACAGCAGTGATGAATGTAAACAGCTATGTTCAAATTTTAAAGAGGATTTTTAATAGAAAATGTATTAACAGTAGGATTTTTATAAAATTTATAAACAGTAGGATTATATTCCTTCTGTAATCTAATGGTATATTCAGGAGTCGATCAGAAGCAAATGTCTTGCGGACAGAGTGACCACTTTCAATACGGAGTTAATTCATGAATTGAAATCCAACTGAGCTACTAAATCAATTAAAACGTCTTCACTCGAAATACATAAATTCAAGGAAAACATTCTTCGCATTGACGCGTTCGTACCGACTACAAGGGAGAGTACTAATATAATAGTTGTCTCCCATTCATATGTTTGACAAAAATATTTTACCTTTCCGTCTGTCTGTTTCCTAATAACGGTTGCATTTTGAATGTGTTTTTCTCTAAGATTCTTCTCCACCAATAGGAGATTTTCCATAAATCTTTCCATGACGTCATTATGAATAACAATGTTGGTCAGCTGGAAGTATTTGACGTCAACATGGAGCGCCAGGTCTGCAAGTTTGCACTTGTCACGTGGTTTACAATGTTTAGGACACGCTGGAAAGACAAATGAAAATATCGCATTTGTAAAGATACCACGTGACATCTTACTCACAGGTTAAAGTTACCTACTCCCATGAGACCCACCCCGAGGATCATCGATACTACAAAAATATCCGTAAATCCCCAATACGAAGTTGATAATCGACCATGTCTGTTTTCTCATAGATTTAAACAAAGTTGAATACCTTTTAATAGGTTTAAGTAATATCAGTAATATGTTTTGTAATAATTGTTTTATTTTGCATTTTGAATAAAGACTTTGAGCTTTAACACGGGGGTGGAACCCCATATGTATCTCAAAAATGAGCATATGTAAAAATTATATGTGAATTTCCGCTGCACCAGATGTGAAGCATAACACCAGATGTGACTGTAAAAATAGGTCAATCGCAGGGTAAATTTTCATCTTTTCAAACATTTATATAAAATTCAATGCATTTTTTAAGAAAATCGAAATGTGATTCTACCCTTCTGACTCTCCTCTATATTACCCATTTTTGTTTTGGATTTCTATGCCGTCTTCATCGAGATATTATTTACGTATTATTACGGACATAGATGGTCCCAGGGACAGCTGTAAAATTCCAAATAGAATAGCAAACAATAATCCATTATTTATGGAACAAATGTGTATCAGATCGGCTTATTATTTTTCTGATTTTTTCCTGATAGATGGGTGTGTTTAGATGAAAAAACTCTGTAACCCAAGGCCGTAAATCCGAATTCCGTTTCAGGACAGAGAAGATATTAGTGTAATTGATCACGTGCTCACGGAGGCTGTAACTGTTGGTAGAATTACAATTTAACATACCGTTCAAGTATGCAGAACAGTCCGGTCTACAGCAGGTGCCCCCAAGCCTCTCCCTCACAGCTTTATATAGAACTCGCTCGATCTCCGGGCGTTTCGTCTTCAATTCAGTGGTGTTATAAACAGGAATAGCACCCTGAAATATTCAATTTGTTTTCAATTTGTTTTCCAAAATACATTCACTGATTAAATATATTCAGTAGACATTCCACAATAGCCCTGTTTGTGAAATATCAAATTGAGAAAGCTTCTCTTGAACTATTCAATATATGGCATATTCAAATATACTGTTAAATTATGAGTGAAACATTCAATGTTAAGATGTTAAACAGTTTATTACTTTTAAATATCTTCAAGTGGTGTTCTTAAATAGTGTTATTTCAACTTAGTTCTGAAATACAAAAGGTATTCAATTCCCATTTCCTAATATGTTCATGGGGTTATAATTTGTATTATAAAACAGAGCGACTTAGATGTTCAAGTGTGCGTAACATCCGTTATTCATATTTGTTGTTGTCTTGTGTTTCAGGCTGAGAATGCATTAGTCTGACGGTTGCATATAAAGCTGAAATGGCTTGGTTCAGTTCAGTTACACGTTGATATCTAGCATACGCAAATCGCGCTGGCAGTGCATATCTGATAAGCCCCACACATCTTTTCCTTGAATTTTTGTCTCAGCATGTAATTTTTTTTCTCAGATTTTGCAGATGAACATTGGATACACTACCTTGATAGCATCGACAGCACTCCTTTTCATCACATCTTCGTAATAAACATCATACGCCGTATGCAGCAGCGGAAGTTCATCCTTGCGTAGGAAGTATTGAGCATGCGCAGTAATGGATACCTGAAAAAAGAACGCAATACGATGAGCGCAGTATCATGAAAATCTAAAACAAACATGTAGGAGGCAAACGAGAATACATAGCACCTTATGGACCATTGGTTCTAAATATCATAAATTAAGATAGCATCATGGACTATTTTCTTTGACCCCCTTCCTTGTCTAAGGCAACTTATGATAAAGCTGCATACGCTGCAAATTTCTTTTCTAATGCAATTCATACGCTCTGTACATTTTCAAAGAATCGTAAGTAGGCATTGTGTTGGATATATTTTGAAAACGTATTTATGCATCTGACTTATGAAAACTTTTCCCAGTTAACCACCGTTTTCCCTCTAGAATAAAGCTATATCTGGCTGCCTGTAACTTTAGTTTGAATCTTTTTAATGCGAGCCTTGTTTTATCAAAGCCTCGTTTGTTATGCATGTAAATGAAGAAGTGGATGAATGCTTTTGATATTTATCATTGCGAAGATATTACAAAGCGTGAAATGCGTCGACATCTTTACTATCGATTTCTCTATCAATAACCATTACTGACTCACGGGTCTGTTAATCAACCTTTATTTCACACTGCAGAATATCTCAAATTTGTTTTCTTTCTTTTTTCTTCTCTTTCTTTTCTTTATACTTTTTGTTTGTTTGTTTGTTTAATTTTCATTATCAGTTTACAAGAATTAGTCAGCTAACGGTACAGAGTCTTGTCGGACTGCAGGCTGGTCAGGCTCTGTATAGTGTACTGTTAGCGAAAGCTAATCACGTTCATTTTAAGCCTAAGGGTTAAATAACATAAGCACACATATCAGAAATCAAAACATATGCCATCAAGAATCTTTGTGTCCGAGTTTATTCAATTTTTGTAATTCCGTATTTTTCCGAATGAGACATCCACTTTCGGAAAGTTGTGCGTAATGACAATATTACAAAGAAATGAAAACATTGTCAAAATTTTCTCTATCCCATACTGCATGGGTAGATATACTATATATATTTACATGTATTATTGAACTACGCTCGCCTTTACATTGGCCAATTTCTGTACAAATATAATTCCTATGAATCTATCACACAGTCACACAATTGTTCGAGTTGGAATAAAAAAAACTTAGCGCATACACAAATTTTTTTAGTACGGTATCCAGGCCTCTCTGGCGAGAAAAATAAATGATAAATGACAGACAATCGAAAAATGTCGAAATTTCTTGTTCGAAATGAGTTGCAGGACTTGAATAACAATTGTAGTTTAAATTACATTTAATGATTTACTGCCGATTGCAATCGTATACAAATCAATATATGGATATAGAATATGCATGACAATGTGGAAACGTAATAGAATCAGAATTAATATTTAAAAATTTGTTTTCATTAAAAGGCTTTGTTAAAAATTTAATACATGTACTTTTTGAGCTGGTGTTTGTCACGTGCTCTGTACAAGGATAAATAATTGATTCCAGGACCGAACGCTGCTTCCAAGCATTGGGCATCATAGGGAGAACCTCCGGTAAGTAATTATCCAGAGGTCGCTAAAGTTCGATTCTCGGGCGAGTCGAAATTTCTCCACGACAATTGATCTCCAACATAAAGTCTAATTCAACGCAGATTTAGTAATCATGTGACTTTAGAGGTCGGTCACTTGCAAAGAAATTAGTATTTCCAGCAAAACCTTGTTAGTTGATCTACCACCAATATATGACTAAATATGTTTAAAATCGGCGTAAAAATAAGATACGAATACCTGTTTTGTTAAGCAACTGACTTCATACATATGTATCGATTGCTGAAGTTCGAATCAATTACCTATCACGTTTCCGAATTACCCTCGAAATGCTGAGGGTTTTATTCCCTGTAAGAGGGCTATCCAACTAGTAGACGAGGAGTGGTTCTACATTGGGATAGAGAGTGGGTTATATTTCGTCATAAAATCTGGACCTAAGAGATAATTAATGTGCTAGTTTGACTGTAAAGATGACTTACCTCTAATTTATCTCGAGTAAATACCCGGAAGTTGACTAGATCCAGAAACTGGGCATCTGCTTTGAAAACCTTAAATTCATAATCCGGGCCTAGAAAGTATTTACCTCCCGAATAAACCATACTCGTGTCAACAGACCCCGTACTCTTTTGTCGCCGGAAACCGTACTGAAAAATGAAATAATGTATAAAGTATCAGGATGGCGAACCATTGGACACATTTAGACAAAGTGTAAAGAGGGAAACGTGTGTATTCTACAAATAAAATCTGGAAAAGTTGTGACCTCTTGGATCAAATGAAAATACCATATTTTTTTTAAAATTGCAGATTCGGTTCGATTGAGTCTGTTCATGAGAGATGATGGAGAGATTATGTAAATTTGTAGCATCTCTCACGAACCTTTAAGCTGGTATTCAATCTTGAATTATACACAACAATGTAATGGAATCAATTATACTGCCTGATACGGGTAGGTTTGTTTAAGTATCGTTTTTATATTGAATAATTTTTAAAGAAGTGTAAAGGCTGTTGCCAGATTGTTGTATAATCTCTCTAATAATCCATAGAAATCTAAATGACGAGTTTAAGGAAACGATTTATTTTAGAAATTGATTGATTTTTAATGGCAAATTTATACACTTGATTTAAAGATATGTTATTTAATATTAAAGGCACAAAAATGGGCACGCCTCCCATAAGTAGTTAATATAAACTGTTTAATCAATTACCATATATACACGCCTTTTGACGCCACCTTCCCCCCCCCCCCCAAACCCATTTGATGTTTCAAATGGTGAAAAATGTCTTATTTAAGCCCCGAACACTTGATTTTGTGAGAGAAATGTGGTTGCCTCAGGTCGATCTTAACGCTTCTTTTGAGACGTTGCAGCACTTTGAAATCAGTGTTGATGGGAAAATATCAACGCAAAATAGTGAGTTTTGACAATTTTGAGATGTCCAATCGTTGCCATGGTAACAGGAAATTTAAGACTCGGTCCAGTCAGCATTTGTGCTAAGTTTGATTAGTATTGAAACATTTTATATAGTTTCATAGCAATTTTAAATTGTAACGGGATACTTTTCACAATGAAAACAGCCATTTTTCACAAATGTTCATGCGGTAATGGGTTAAATTAGAGTCACCCCCGGTTATTGGCGCATACACTGAAGAGTCTTTAAAATTGACCTTTACTATCTAAATGCCAACGTAACGCCAGAATACCATGCATACTATCGATTACAATGTATATCATTAACTTAAAAGAACAATTTTGTTCCAACTTATATTACAGCACATTATTTAAGTTTTTAGTAATGTATATACTGAGATTTTAGAATACTGCACGTTTGTAACTAACAAAAAATTTAAGATTCCCGACAGGATATGGCCTTATACATAACAGGTTCTTTGCAACTTAAATCTCGCCTAGTGTTTTGGATGATATTTCAAAACATACCTTTTTATACGGCCATATAGTCTGAACTAGTACATCAAAATTCTTTATAAGTAATAATATTCACTGAATTAAATTTAATTATGTGAAAATGAAAGTTTGTTAATTATATAGAGTTCTGCTTGAGAGAACAATAACCTCTTATTACTTAATAAGCACTTAATGAGCACAACTCTATGCCATTTATCGTAAACTACATATATATATGTATTTATTGAAGTTAGAAATTGCAAAATGAAGTAGTAACATGCAGTCTGCCTACCTCGTTGTATTCCAAAGTCACAAAACTCATAGGCAACACAATAACAAGTACAAATCCGACAACTGCAACCACTATACCTATCAGGTAAAACAGACACTTGTTCTCCCCAACACCCGGCATCGTTCAATCCACTTTATATCCTGAATTTAACAAAGTACATGTACATGTAGTAATTATCACAGCAAAGAAAATGGTTGGTTAGGATAGTTTAAAAATACACAATTCATATAATATAGTATTACAGTTACAATTAAAGAGAAAAGAAGCAAGCTGTTTACATATGTGTAAATATACTGAATAAACTTACTCGTAGCGGTGAAAATATAAACATGTAGTACTATACCTTTTCTCAATCTCTCTCACCATCTTCAACGAAGCGATCTGAGAAAATGCTAAAAATAACCTAAATGTTCCACAGCTTCTAGTTAATGTGAATCGTGTGTGTATTTATCGATTAAAAGATGTTTCTCCAGCGAATGTTAAAAGTATTGGCAAAAATGTTATAGAGCATGAGTGCCTTTATTAACAGAAAAACAACACATTTATATATATGATACCACAGTGTAGGAAATTTCATATTCTATTGAGAGGTTTTCTGTTAAATAGTCAATTATGGACCGCTTCTTCCGATGACAAATTTGGCTTAACATGCTTTAGATAAATTCTACAACATTCCCATTGAAATAATAAATAGCAAAAGGGTTGCGCCCAAGTTTTTTCAACATTAGCTATTGGCCTTCACCAAAGAAAATTGGATATATTTTTTTTTTATTTTTCAAAAAATGATGGCAAAAAGAGAAATTGTAACATACGTATGTATATATGCATAAGCATATATAAAAGGAAGCACACTATATATTTTAATACCAGAAAAATAATGCCAAAAGAAAAATAATACAGCAAATAAAAAAAGTAAAAAAAAAAGAAGAAAAAAATCAATCATCAAGTTGTATTGACCTTTGACGACGCGGCCCGTTGCTATGAAAAATCGTTCGGAAGTAGTATTTTCTCGCGCATGGGCAATCTGCGTATCGCCCAACATAGAAAAATAGTAGAAGTTAATAGACAATTCCGAGTTAGTTTAAGGTAAAAGGTAGAAAATTATATGAAATAGCGAAAAATAAAAAGATGCCTTTAATTTATAGCTTTGTGACCAAGCTTGGGAAAAGATGGTTGTTTAAGGATCACGGACCTGACGTTGACATTGTTGTAAAATAAATAGGAAATATATCTATTAGCAAATAAAGAGGTCAACTTATTATTTATTTTTTTGCAGAAGTTCATGTAAAAACTAAAGAAATTTTTAAAGATCCTGTAAATCAAATTTTTATGGTTTTATATCAAAAATTCATAAAATACCCACAGATACAAGTCCGATTTTATCTTTAATGATTTTTTAAAGCAGCAATTATTTCTTAAACGAACATGCAAAAAAAAATACGTTATACCAAACAAAACCTGTTTAGGTACTGCGATCATGTCAGGATTTTTTATATTTCAGCAAAACACAATAAAATCAACAGTAACATATATATACATTGAAATAAAAGTAGAAATTCAAAATTTTGAATAATTTGGTTTGCTTCAGACTTATTTCTTATAACTATAAGAAGCCCATGGTTCAGGGGTAACACGCTCGTTATTGATGCGAGAGATCTAGAGTTCAAATCCAAGTTAAAGCAACTGATTTTTATGTGTCTTTTTAGCCACGATATGCATAGACAATGGCGGTCATAAAAATGTACAAAAATGAAATAATAATACAGTCAGAAACTCTGGTCATGCAAAACTCAAACTGTTATAGTAAATAAAAAAAACTACGTGGTAAAAGTTTTGGAACTTGTTTATAGCGAGCCCGAAGGGCCTGCTCGCAAAGCGAGCTTTACGGTAACGCGAGTACCTGCTAAGTGATGGTTTTGAAAACTTTCGTCCGAAGTACCGAGTTGGACATATCGCAACTTTTCGAATTACAAGATAACGATAAAAGCCTATGTACTCTGATTGAAAACGGAAGCGTAGACTGGTATCCTGCGCAATTATATAGGAACCATAATAGAAAGGGAGAACCAGAATAAACGGAAGCAGTGTATAAAAAACCGAATGACAATTTTAAAACGGAAAATGTAAAATAAAAATGAACGATTATTTTAAACTATTTTACGTTTAAAGAAAATCGAGCTCGCTTTAAGGCTTTGCCTTTTTCATATTATATGATTATATGAAGATATTTTTTTACCACATCACAAGTTTTATTAGATTTCCTACATACTAACGCTGATTTAAGTTTTTTTAAAAGAATGCGCATGCATTTACCTAAGATGAAAAAGTAAAACACAATGTATACTTATTACTTACAGTCACTTTGTAAATTGTATATGTCCAAAATGAAAACAAAGACATAGATAATTTCTTCAAAAAAAATTAATGTTTCATATGCAAAGATAATTCCTTTAAATATGCCATGGTGAATGAAATTTGAGCAAAAGTTCAAAGATGGGATGCGGCACTAAAAACGAATAAAAGCGGGGTGGTGAAATTTTGTAAGATTTCTAAGATTTCAAAAATAAATATCTTGTAGTACCTATATATAGATAAAGATTTATTATCAGTGATCATAAGGGTCCATAATCCTTATGGTCCAATCGTTAAATATACTTTTTCTTACCACAGTGTCTGTTTGTAAATACTATTTTAATATTAACTGAAATAAATAAACAAAGAAAATCGGTAAATTCTAAATAATAATGTTATATAAATTAATCAAATAAATGTAAAGTCATAACTATTAAGAGAATGACTGTTAGAATGGAGCGGGACAGGTTCAAAGCAAACGGCAGAAGTTAAGAATATTTAATACACTTGTTACTATATATAGTAACAAAATTGCCTATGATTTCAACTAATTATGAGTGTCACGTGACCTATTATGAGTTTGCGGCCCGGGGCCGAGAACTAGTTACCAGCCCGCAGAACATATGCACGTGCACAAACTGAAACAATGACGTCATATTTTACGTCATGAAACAGTTAAAGTAGGTTGACAGCATATCGTATTTAGTACAAACACATTTTTGTTACTGTTGAAATTTGAAGAAATAATACGACAAATTCAATCCGAAAAAAAATGAAAATAAAACTTGCTTCTTTGAACAGACAAACAGTAAACATCTCTGTACAGAACACAAGAATTTCAACCAAAGAACTTCAAAGTAGATTTCTATTTGTTGTTGTTGTTTTTTGTTTTTCTTTTTTAAAAATGCTACTATTAGATCTACCAAGTGTATTAAAGACATTAATACACGTCAGAGTAGGGCCGGGAGGTGATTATCAGCCCTGAATGAATAATGGCCCTCGGGCTAAAGCCCTCGGGTCCATTATTCATTTTGCGGGCCGATTATCACCCTCCGGCCCTCTCCTGCCGTGTATTAACCTCTTATTAAAAGCACAAATGGACATCTTTCTCACATTGTAACATAATAACACAACAGACAAAACAATAGGACAAAATTTGAGTGACCGGTCAGTGTTCAAAACCATGGCCATAATCGCATCTTAAAATTACTCTTTCAAGTGGGCTATCTAATTTGATTCGCCCAATCGGCGGAAAACATGAAATAAGATTTTTTGTGACCAAGGGTGACCTCGACATATCAATTACGTACATTCCACCTATTCAAGATTTCAAGATTTTATTCAAAACCAAGGCATATGATATATGCATAAGGTTATGATAGATCACAGTTATTCAATTTAGTAGTTGTATGCCTCCTTTCCGCCAAACTTCGGAGTATTTTGACAATCGGAACATCTCGGTTATTATCAAAAATATTCTTATCCGGAGTTTGGCGGAAAGGGACGAGAAGTTGCGATGAAATTGTATGGGCAGCCATCTTGAATGGGAACCATGAAAGAACGAACCTAATCGGACATGGAACCAGCTTAAATCCATTCTTTAATTACGAAAGCGAGGTTGTAAAGGAAAAAGGCCAATTATCGACTGAAATATTGTGTTTTGAGGATTTTTAATCCCTCACAATGCTTTTACAAGAGCCTGTACAGGTGAGTGTGACATAGAAAAAGCTTCATTCAATCTTTATTTTCTCTTTACCTAGCTTGTATACAAATTTACTCTTTCTAGCGGTTATTTAATTTTGAAATTTGTTTTGTTTTGACTCGCCCAAACGGCGGAAAACATGAAATGAGAATTTTTGTTTACCCATGAGAATTTAAAACCTGGTGCAGCGCAGTTACTAAGTTTTTTTCAGGAACAACATGCTTTTGAGGAGCATAGACAGAGATAATAATTTGAATGCATAATAAACGCAAGAGACTTGATCTAGACCAGCAGCAGTCATACTCATAGACAAGTTTGTTTTTACTAACAAATGAGTGTACACCCCCACATCTACTTCCACAGAGTTGAATATGTTATCTTTTTTCTTCACCCTCTTTAACATATAGAACCAAGTGTAATATGAAATTAGGCAAAGCCTATGAACGGGGAAGTCGGTAAAAAAATCCTTTCATTTTTCCGTTTTAAAGGTGTTATTCGGTATAATTTATATGTACCCACTTCCGTTTTCACTCGGAACACTCGACGATTATTAATAATCCGAAAAGTTGAGATTTGTTCCGTTATCGGAATACACCGCCTTTTATCATTGAGTTACATTGTAAATGGTGGCGCCTAACTAGAACTGACACTGAAAATTTCATTGATTCTATATATTTTTTAATTGCTTTTTATTTGAATTTTCTTTTAAATATACACATGTAGTCTATAGCCGGGCAAGCCAAAAAAAGCGGGCCCGGACTTTGACTTCCCCGTATTAATATGAAATTAGGCAAAGCCTATGAACAGGAAAGTCGGTTTAAAAAAATAGTTAATTTTTTCGTGTTTTTATGGTGTCATTCAATATTTCATGCACCGCTTCTGTTTTCACTCGGAATACTCAAAAATGTTACAACAATCTCAAATTCGTTGCTGTGACACGCAAACACCGATGAACTGTATAAATCACCCAAGCCCTTAATTAGTTTAAAAAGCATGCACTTTCTAATGGAAAAAAGAAGTTATTGCTATCTAACTAGATATAACAGATCAATATGACAATATGCAGCTCATAGGGCTGTGCTGAAATAACAAATATTGTTTTTCAACTTTTAAGGCTGCTGTGTGGGATGCATTGAACCATTATGACTACCGAGATGCAACATTCCTTGCAGAGAGACTCTGTGCTGAAGGTAAGTTTGCTGAATGCTTACAATCACACTTTTTCGTTTTAAGTAATGGCTTTAATCAAGGAGATTCTTAAAATCAGGGTGATTCTTTAAATACAAAAACAAATTTACAATTTTTAGCTTGTCTGTTTTTAAGGAACAGTCAAGCTATTATGATTGTGTTGTTGTCATGTAAAAACTTTAATGTAGTTCAATCAGAATTCAAATAATTTTAAAAGTATCAGTATGAATTTTGGAATACTTGCTTAGCATAGCAAGAGGCAGTTGTAAGACAAAGGGGCATAATTCTGAAAGTTATATTTGTGGAGTTATGTCAATTTGTGAATGTCAAAAATGGTTATTTTAACAGATGCATGTTTTTAAACACTGCATGTGGTGGTCTTGTTAGCTCATGATATTTTGATTTAACTGACGCTCATTAGAAACATAACCCGTTACCTTTAATCTAACTTCATGTATGATCTAAAAGAAATGATAAGAATCCAGTCAGGCTTGCTTGTAGTACTGTAACAATTTTAGTTAATGATATAACATTTATTGATAGAAGTTTCCATAGTTTAGCAGTTTTTATGCTAAAGTTAGCCAAATATTTTGGTAAGTGATACTGTAAATTGTTATATATAAAACTTCACAAGCTTCCTTAAACGTTATTACTGTAAGTGGCTATATAAAGACAAAATTCCAACTGAAAAAGGATGTTTGTTTATTTTAAATAAATTGATATTTTGTTATATTTCAGTTGTTAGTGATGAGACCTTGTATTTATTGGCAACCTGTTATTTCCGGTCAGGAAAACAGAGACAAACATATGCCCTGTTACAGAAAAGAGGTTATAATTCACCAGAGCTTAAATATCTGTATGCTAAATGTTGCATGCATGTTGAAAAGTAAGTAACCTCTGTGTTTATTAATATCAATCTGTTACATGGTTTTATCATATATACCTGTAATAAGGAAACTTCAATAAATTGACCGGAAAGTAAAATAAAATGTTCAATATCAAACAGTGACCTATAATTTTATTCATGTAGAAGAAAATGTGTAAATAAATATTTAAGATCTATAGCCCTGTGAATTAGAATTGTTTGAAATTCTGAGGGTGGCTTTTTAAATGAATATTTCAAAGGGGCGACTACCAACAACTCTCATAAAAGAAGAGAGGAAAGCCTTTCCATAAACTTGCTGCTTTGTAACACGCACAGATAAGATAAAGTTTTATCATTACAAAGCAACTGGTTCTTGAGAAATTTCTTGTGACGATGATTATCTGTCTGTCTGCGTAGCTCAATAGGGAGACGAAAAGTATCACATTTGTTTGTCGATCTTTGGGTTAAGTAGAATTTCCTAGCAATATTTAATCTGGACATTGTGTCACTTGTCTCACACTGCTGATTTCCAAAATTTTGTAGGAGTAGTGGTTTGGTCACTTGCAGAGAACTTGGCAATCGTCAGTAAGTTACTCTGGAAAGCTTGTTAGGTGAACTTACAGCAGAAGAATGACCCAAAGGTGTTGAGATCTGCATTAAAACCTCACAAACAAGGAAACCATGATTATCCTGACCTAATTGTGGCCTGTAATTTAATCTGACTTTGTTGATATTCATGCATAGTACAATATATTCTTACACCTTATAAGTTTATATATGTCTGGTTGTTTAAGACAAAACTGGCATATTCTTGCATGTATTGAAATTTGAAACAATGGTTGATAATTTCATACTGACAAAAATAACTTGAATGAATTATATACAATACTATAGATCATGATATTTTCAATTTCTTTGTCAACTTTCTGTTTATTTTTTTACAGGTTTTCAGATGCAGAATTTGTTTTAGCTGGAAATATATTAACTAGGCAAAAGACTATGGAAGATATAGAGAAAGAATTTGGCAATTTAGCTAGTCATGTGTTTAATGTACTCGGTGCTATATATACACGAACTGATCGTAATCAAAAAGCCATAGAATGTTATAAGAAAAGCTTAAAACTCAACCCATTGCTGTGGTCTGCATTTGAAGGATTGTGCCAATTAGGTGAGGTTTTGAATTTTCAACATGATAAATAATTAGTTTTCAATTATATGTGCTGATTTTGCTTTAAACATTTTTTCATGGAAAAAGTTTTGTATGTGAGAAAAAGTTCATGTAGCAAGAGAAACTTTTTATGTGTAAATCAGAGCTAGAGTTTTTGAGTACAAGGAATTTCAATGCAATATATAAATTAAACTTGCATTTTGCAGTGTTTCTAAGAGAGTGAGTTTCTTGTGTTTTTGACACACTTTATTCACACATGACACAGCAGAATTCAAAGCACATGTTTTCTATGACACAACTTCATTATTCAGTGAAAGAGGTCAAAAGTACGTCAATATTTGGTTGAAAATTTAATCTCTGACAATTACAGAAGCAAGGTATATAAAGAGTTAACTTTTAAATAGGCAAAAGAAGAAACAAAAAATCCTTTGATCTTTTGACATACCACACTCAATAATAAACAGTTGGGCATGTCTTCTTGTTAAAATATTGGCTGTAGCTTGGAATAGCCTATTTGCTTAAAACAGATTGTATTATGAAAACAACTAGCTTGTTTCACAATTTTTACAGCTTAATGTATGAAAGCAAAACATCTACGATCTATCAACGTTAAAGCTACATTAAATAAATTTCATAAAAACAGAAATAGCGACATTTCATTAATATATTGGGTTTCATATCGACACCAGATCTTATTTTGGTGTCCAGACAACCAGAATGAGTTTTATAAGTATAAAAATCCGCAACCTCTTTGTGGCGAAATCGGAAGCTCAATTTCTATTTGCATGAGAAACTCCGCCTTCGGATACATCAATATTAAATCAACAAACATGACTATAAGTAGAAGTCCTAATTTAACGGTATATTTCCGCATTGTAACGGATGTTTTCATACAAATTTAATCTTTTTTATGGTATGATTATTTTTTTCTGAACGCCAGACCAAATGCACCGTGAAGCTAAAACGGTTTAAGTGTGTTTGCACAAGAAATTCTCATATTTTCTGTGTTCCGGATAACAACTATAACACTGTGATGTAGCGCATACACAAGCTGATTGCATACACAAGCTGATTATAGTCTTCATTTGCATGTTAAAATTTGTATACGAACTTTAGTGTTACCGTGGGGTTTTCCGTTAAAAATCGTAATTTATAAACAATTTTTGATGAGATTTACAACAAAACTGTTAAAAAGGTTAATGAAACTGTAGAATGCTTGGTTTTTAGGCCGACGGCAAAATTATTTTTACATATTTATTTAATGTTACTTTAATGCCAATATTTTGTTTCATTAACAGGTGAGAAAGTAGATCCAACCAGTGTCTTTCCTGTGCCAACCCAGGCATGTACTACTATATTAATACAGAACACGAAGGAGGCTCACACTGTACAGAACACGCCCCCTATTATAGTCTCTGAAATTCTGACCCCTGTGGCAGAAGTACCGTCACCTCAACCAGTTCCTAACAATATTAATTTGTGTTCACCTCAAAATTTACAAAATATGAAGGTAAGTTGCCAAGAGCTTACATATAGATTTGTTATGTACCTTGGGTAAATAAAAAAATGACAAACCCAATGTGACCTCATTACTGACTTTATTGAAAAATAAAAATTGTGACCTTTTCTAGCAATGTATCTCAGGTGAGCAATCCAGGGCCATCATTGCCCTCTTGTGTTAACTCTTAACCTGCTGAATTTCTGAAATGTGCTTTTTCAGTTTCCATTTTAGTACTATCCATTATCATTTTTGAGGATATTAAGATGTAAACATTAAATTGGTCAGCCAACCATATAGAATCTGGTTGGATTGCATGGACAGTGCTGAACTGGTGGCAAAAGCTACATGCAGTCAATTCCATACCCTTGATGATGAAAGAGAAGGGTGTCCATGGCCAAGTGGTTAAGGTAGTTGACTTAAAACCACTTGCCCCTCACCGCTGTGGGTTCGAATCCCAACTGAGACTTTGGATTCTTTCATCATATATTTTAGAAGCATCAAATAAAGAAAACTCAAAACTAGAATATGTAAATGAATACCAAGTCACATAATCTTGTAACGCATGTTGTAATAGCACATATTCTTAAATAAATTTTATTTACAGTTGCTTAAAACACCGGAGCATGGTCATCAAGATGTTTGTGATCATACACCAGAGAATCGCAGGGGTAACATACATGATCAGCTTATGGCAAGTATAATCCAAGCCCCTAAAAGTACGAAGAAAACAGCAAGAACTCCTATGACAGAAAACAGACTGAGGGAATGTCCATTAGATCTTCTTACACAGTATTCACCAAGGTACTAAATTTTTAAGATATGCTCTGTTGTTTTTAGGGTGATGGACAGTATATAACTGATAGAATTTCTACCTCCTTAATCTAAGGCTGATCCACTTGCACCTCACTGATGTGTGTTTGAATTTTTTCATGTGAGGAAGCTTTCTAGCAAGCTTATCAGGTGCCTTAAACAATGCATGGAAGTGAACCTGAGTATTTCCACTTCCAGTAAACCATATGACCTGTACTATTTTGGTGCAATGTAAAATCCAACAAAACAAAAAAATTAAATCTAGGGGTGGTGGGTTTTAAGCACACTTAGATGAACATGTAATGATAACTTCTTTAATTGATCAGAAAAGAATATAAATAAAGTCTATATACATACAGGGATGTCCGCAGCCAGGTTGCTAAATTTGTTGTAAGTGCATTGCATGAAAATTGATCTCAGACAGTGTGTCTTATAATCATGTCTCACGTCTTGATTCAGAATAAATATTCATGTAAAAATAAGAAACAAAGCATTTGTAACACCCGAAGTAAAACAAAATCATCTTTCCTGTTTTGACGCCATATTGGTTGTGTGTTGATGTGCAGTTAAAAAATCTATCTGGCTAGTTATACAACAGTTCTCTCTAGGCTGGGATGTAGAAATTCTTTCAAGCGGATGGCTACTTATAGTAAATGATAAAAACTTTTGTCAGCTGCTAGCTGTCAAACACTGAAATATATGTGTTTGACATACTGGAGAATGGTGTTTAACTTGTATTTGACTGTATTGCAGATTTGGTATATTACAGTTAAAAACAATGATTGGTATTTGACTATATTTCAATTTTTGTATGTACTGTTCTACGCAGGCATTTGTATTTGACTATATATGCAGTTTTGTTGTATTATTTTTAAACACAAAAATTTGTATTTGATTATGTTTCAGTTTTGGTATATTACCCATCAACACACCAAGTCCCGAGAGTGTGCCACTTGCACAGAATCTTTTTGAAAACTTTATTACACCATCTCCTGCCGCTCAACATGAGTCTAATAATGAATCAAAGGCTCCTAGAAAGGTATTTATCTCTACAATTTTTTCACAGTTTACTGAAAATTTAGGAATGATCCATTGAAGTAGAGATGGATGCAAGAGATACTAATTAACTGTCACATAATAAGACATTAATTGGGCTAAAAGCAATAAAGTCACAATTCTGCAACTTTTACTTTTCAAATTTAAACTTTGAATTGACCAATCAAAATAAGATAAAAGTGAAGAAATACAACACATCAACACCAGTGCAGGTTGAGTAATTTAATAATCTACCGATTTTGGCATTAACGATCCTTTATCAGGCATGGACCTGTTCAAATCCAAAGCATAGCAAGTCCATTACACAAATTCAGCAGTGTAAAGGTGTAGTTACAAGATTTGAATACCAGTATGTGACATGATAACTATGACTTTAGGATGATAACTGAGGGGATGATAACTTTGACTTTAGGATGATAACTGTGGGGATGATAACTATGACTTTAGGATGATGATAACTATGACTTGTGGTTTAGATCAGGTTATCACATGTCTGATAATTTCATATACTAGTTTATAATCATTTAAAGTATGTATCTATTTTCAGCCAATAACAAGAAGGGCAAACCAGAATCAAACACTGATGCCAAAACCGCCACCTTTTAACCTTACTGGGAATACACAAGAAAATAATAGCAATATAAAGTAAATATACTATATGTCCTAGCATGACTTAAATTCAAATCTAAAATATATATACAAGTTAAAGGAGCATGCCTCCAGATTCTTGCTAATTGTCATGAAAATTTTGAAAATGTATTAAAAAGTACAATGTTTTTAAGTGAACAAAGAAAGTAACTTACACTAAGCAAATGACACTTTCAATCCATGTATAAGTCACCAAAAAAATGCCAAAATATGCAAAAATATCCATTATTACTTCTGTCAGGCAGTAGAAATATGGTGATGAATACTGCAAAATCTTCCATTGTATTATTACTTGAATTGTAAATATTTTTATATTTCTTAAAATCTTAGTTCATTTTTCTTAAAATTGATTTTCTTAAATTTTTCTTTGCTCATCTGGAGGCATGCAGCTTTTAGAAATAGTAGCTAATAAGAAAAAAAACCAGTTTAAACTGCTCAAAAGGAGCGGCATTATTATTCTGGTAAAATACTGCTATAGAAAGTTTAATTTAGTGTTAAATTTAGAAAAAAAGCATATAGGCAAATTTTATGAACAAGAAATTAGGAATTCTTAAGAGGCCAACATTTTTGATAATTGTGGGAATTAAAAAAACAACAACAACAAAAAGTATTTATTAAGCCTGACAAGTTTGTTTCATAAAGTTTATTTATATTTTCAGCACACAGAATAATCCACCAAATGTTAGACGAAGCTCTAGGTTATTTAGTCATAGTTCAAGTTCAGTAAAGGTATGTTGTTTAAGTATATTATATTCATAATATCAAGTTATAAAACAAGTTTTTACAACTGAGAAATTAACCACTTTATATTCACGTTTTTGACAAACAAGGATTAGTGTCTACTACTCCATGATGGGACATGATCCTGGTGAACGAATGTCTAGAAATACATCAAGATATTATGGATTAAGAAATAGATTCTTATAAAACCAGTTTCTTATCCCATAATTGTTTCATAGCTATTTGGTTAAATAACTAAAAGCCAAGGCACCAGAATTGGTATAAATAGGGGCACTCTAGTATTTCTTAAAGACAAAATACTTGGAAGTTAACACTTGGCTCTGGCAATAAAAAAAGGAAAAGAAATGATAAAATATAATATATGCTGCTGGCAATAAAAAAAGAAAAGATAGAAAACATTTTGTAATAGTATTTGTTTTATGGTAAATATTCAATGTTAGACTGTGATTACTTGCTATCCTTCTTAAATGTTGTAAATGGATTTGTTAATCTGCCTGATGTTGGTGGTAGGAAAATTACAAGATATATAAGCCGCGTCATGACAAAACCAACATAATGGGTTTGCAACCAGCATGGATCCAGACCAGCCTGCACATCCACGCAGTCTGATCAGGATCCATGCTGTTCACTTACAAACCCTATTACAAGTAGAGAAACTGATAGCGAACAGCATGGATTCTGATCAGACTGCACAGATGCGCATGCTGGTCTGGATCCAGGCTGGTCGCAAATGCACTATTGCCGTGACGCAGCTCATATACTGACTTGGTAGCAAACAAGACGGACCACCATGTCTACACTGGTCACATGGGTAGAATCTGTTTTGACAATTTTACTTTTTTTACTGTAGGAAAATAATAAACAGCAAAGTAAAACCCGTTTTACAAGTCCGAAGGCAGTAGTAAGGAAATCTAAAACAAGACTTAGTAAATCAAAACAAGATATATCCGATGTTAGTAAAGGGGAGATAATCATGGACAGTAAACCAGCGGTAGCCCCTGAACCACAACCTCAGATACAGCTTGTACACATGCAACAACAGTCCCTAGGTAAGTTGTTCAATTCATACTGTTTTATTTTGTGTTGTTTCATTCAAGACATTGCTTATAAAAGACATTTCTGACTTTAAATTTGGACATTGTTTAAATAAACTTACTTGTTATTTAGTAAAGGTACAGTAAGGGTGGATAATGTAAGAATCGCAAACCATCTAGGGGGTTAAACCCCATCAGGGGTAGGCTGTTGTTCCCTTGAGTAAGAAACTACACTCATTGCTCAGTACTGGTTGGGTCCAGAAACAGATTTGAGAGTATGTCTATAAGCTAATATCTTTTTACACAATCAAACTAAAATAAATTCTGTATAAACAAAGCTAAGAAGTGCTAGCCGCCTGGGTTCAAACACAGTCAGAGGCAAGTTGTTGTTTGCTTGAGCAAGAAACTTTACACTCATTGCTGAGAACTAGTTAGTTCCAGGAACAGATTCGAAAGTGTGCCTTTAAGCTTATAGCTTCCTACACAAACTAAAATAAATTCTGTATAAACCAAAGATAAAAATTTTCATTGCCATTAGTATTAAATCCTACCTGATTTTCTGTGCAATCTCACATGATTTGACTGTTGTCTTTCAAAAGGTCAACAAATATTAGTTACAAATTAAAAGCTCAACAAATTTGTTATACCCCATGGTTTAAGTAAAATTACTGTATAAACTCAAGAGAAAAAAAAGATAGAATTAATAATATGCATTGTTTCTAAATGGGATTTAACTGTGTTAAATTTCAGCTGGAATATTAACTTTGCTTCAAGCTGTGGGTAAAGCGTACCAGGCGATGTCAGAGTATAGCTGTCGTAAAGCCATAGAACTGTTTCAAGATCTGCCCCAACACCAGATGAACACTGGCTGGGTACTCTCACAGATTGGAAGAGCTCATTTTGAATTACAAGAATACCATCAAGTAAGGGAGATAACTTTTAATTTGAATAGAGTTTGGTAACACCAAAAGAAAAAAAGGGTAGGGCCATGTTATAACAACGCTGTCATTATGTTCCAAAATTTGGAAGTTAGAGAATGAACATATCAGACATTGGAAGTCATATTATATAGGTTAAGAAGGAAAAGCATTATAGTTTGGAAGTCACAAGCCAAAATCAGGGAGTAAATGACTCCCAGACTTCCACTTATTGGAGCCCTGTTATATAAAGGATCTGCATGAGTTGTAATTTCATATAGATTTAAACTGAATGACTTCAGGCCATCCTTAAAAAAATGTTTGTTTGCAGTAACACGACCGACTCACAAAATTTGCCCCTACTCAAATTTTTTTTTCATGGTCTGGATAAAAAATTTTTTTTTTGAATCAGAAAATTATGCCTTGTGCTTTGTTTTCGTTCTTTTAAAGGTTAATGGAAGAAATAAAATGTAGGTCTTATTGAATTATAATTCAGTTATCAATTTATTAATTGTTACCAGATTATCAAAGCATATATTGTCCAGCATTTTGAAATTCAATGTTTATTTGGGAGTACAGTTCAATAAAAAAAAAAAAAATCGACCTACCTACCCACCTTGAAAATTCTGGGTCGGGTTACTGCAAACAAACGTTTTTTTAAGGATGGCCTCAGGGAAAGAATTTGTACTGCCTGGAGTGTTGAATTTTTCGCAAGCTTTATATCAATTTAGGGATGATTCTGATGAAAGTTTAGGTGTAAAACAAGACTTTTTATATCACGTGATATTATAAAGTAGATCAGCAAGAATATCCTTTGATGTGTCATATTTAAATATAAACATGTACATATACTTCATGCATTAAACTTACATAATGTAGCAATGGTGTATACATTTATGTGAGTAAATATGTAATGATTTTGCCCTTTTATGTTACACCTTTTGAATATTAAACATATTTTTAGCAGAGGGTCTTTAATAAGTTACTTGCAATAAAATGTTAAATGGGTTGCATTGGTTCTTTGACTGATAAGACTTAGGCTGACAAATATTTTTGCTAAAATATTTTCGTAAAATTGCCAAAATCACCAACGTTTCCATATTGCCAACATTTCCATAATGCAAACTTTACTACCACACATAAATAAGATCATTTGATAATACATTTGATCTATTATCAACCTGCATAACAATAATATATAAACTATTTTTAGGCTGAGAAGACATTTAGAGAAATTTTACGCAAAGAGCCGTATCACACAGAAGGCATGGAAATTTATAGTACTACATTATGGCATTTACAAAAAGAAGTAGAGTTATCTTACCTGGCACAGGAGTTGACAGAGATGGATAAAATTTCATCCGAGGTATGTTGATTTAACCTTTAAAAGCCTAACAACAGAAAGTATGTTATGAAGTAACCATGCTTTAAATTTGAAATTGTACAAAATTAATTAATGGGATTTCAATGTATAATTAATAAGAATTTCAAGTCAGAGTATTGAAATTTCATTGTCTTATTTCATTGTCAAGTAAGTTTAATAATGGAATTTCATAACAATGAGATTTCAGTGTCAAATTAATGGGATTTCAATGTCTAAATTATGACTTTATAGTGGGATTTGAGTGTCATATAAATGGGATTTCAATGGATAATTGATGGAATTTCATTGTCAAATTAATAGGATTCAGCATATTATTAATCGAAATTTCAATATCAAAATGCTAAAATTGAACACCCAACTACTAGAATATTGTCAAACTGTACAGAGTACAGGTAAAGAAGATGATTATACTCTTTTTAGCAGGATGATTAATTATAATTATTATGACACATATTAAACATCATAAAATATAGGTCCAATTCAACTTTGGCTTTAAACCACTTATTTTTCAAATAGTTCAGATGGCGATTGGTTTTATGAATCCCCTTTAGTAGTAGTTTTAGTTTTATATTGGACTTACTTACTTGTTTGTTTCCAGTTTCCTAATTATAGTATATATAATCAAGTTTCTAGTTTTGTATTTAAAGAATTTACATTGTAGGCATGCTGTGCGACAGGAAACTGCTTCAGTCTTCAGCGTGAACACGAAACTGCCATAAAGTTTTTTAATCGAGCAATACAGGTTAGTCCCTTCTTATAAAGATTTTACTTTTTGTATATATATGAAGGGCTGGTTTTGATGAAACAATATGATTGCTTATATATATTCACTTCAAGCTCATTTCTATAATTTAAACGCTGGTTCAAGATTTTAAATTCCTTCTTTTGTGGCAGCCAAATAAATGGCTTATATATATAAATTGCAAGGTGATACTTTTCCCAAGATAATTTTTCCATACCTAAAGTGGTGATTAAAGAGGTACATTGAGTCATAAAGGGGCGCTCCACTGAGGGTTTAAAAAAATTTACGTTATGAACTAGAAATATTTTCAGGTAAATTTATTCCATTTGATGAAGGTCAAAACCAATAACTTGTGTGTAATATTATAGATCCTCCAATCTCTTTTTTCCTATGACCAAAAATGGATTATTAGTAAATTTCTTTATTATCTGTTTCATTATTTTTATTTTTTTATTTTTTCAATTTCAGACTTGAGTTGATTTTATGTCAAATTTTCAAATTTTTCATTTTTTGGACTGTCAAATCTCAATGGAACCTCTTTATTATTATCAACTATCAGTAAATGTAATATATGTATGTGTGCTCAAGGTGTTTAATAATAAAGATAACATTTTATTACATACCTGTTTTAGATTGATCCTTCCTTTGCATATGCTTACACGTTACTTGGTCATGAGTTTGTATATACGGAGGAGCTAGACAATGCTATGGCGTGCTTCAGGAGTGCGATAAGAGTTAGTCCTAGACATTATAATGCATGGTGAGTACTCCTGTGTTACATACGAATTTGTGGTCCTTCTTTCATTTAGACCATAAATAGAATTATAGACAAAAATTGGATTATATTTATTCTTGTTAAACAATGCAAAGCAGCAACAGATTTTACCAATATAACTAGTGTAGACCAAGGTCAGCAAGCACATCTAAGCTGTCTGCACTGTTCACTGTTCAGTCAGTACATGTTTTGAAATTCTCCCTAAAAATTCTAAATGGTTTTGTCCAGACTTAAAGATAGTCAAGTGTATTTAAGATATTTAGCATGGTAAAGGTTAAGACATTTTTTTATTGTGCCACTTTAAATCTGTAATTTACATTACCAGCTGATTACCTTTCTAAATCCAAGTCATGCTATAACCTTGTTTTCCTTCTATTCTTTATAATGAAAATAACTAGTTAACTTAGACATTTGTGCATTACCAGAGGAACTGTGTTATTTTACCAATTAATATTGGAACGTCCTGAACATAATTGAAAGCCCCATATTCAAAGCTGCATGCCTCTAGATGAGCCAAAATATTTCAATAAATTCAAATTTGAAAATAAAATGTTCTATGATTTTATGAAAAGTGAAGGATTCAAGATATATGCAATAATTTACATGTTATGTGTAATAAATTTGCAAGTGATTTTTCATCATTTACAGCTATATTTCTTCTGCATTACTAATGCAGTTAGGGCTATTTTTGCATATTTTACCTCTTTGGTAATTTATGTAGGTTGTAAGTGCCATTGATAATGTGTAAATTGCTTCCTTTTGGTTACATTATAATATTATACTTTTAAATAATTTTCAAAACTTTCTTGAAAATTAGCATGATACTGAAGACGTGTTGCTTTAAAAGTTTAAACCTGAGAAAATTGTTTCATAAATGTTGCATTCTACTTAATTTCACTTCATATTTATTAAAAAGAAAAGTTAAACTACAGGGTTAATGATGATATGTAATTATGATTACAGGTATGGTGTAGGGCTTATTTATATGAAACAAGAAAAGTTCCGTCTAGCAGAGATACATTTCCGGAAAGCTTTAATGATAAATCCTCAAAGCTCGCCCTTACTTTGTCATATTGGAGTGGTAAGTAGTTTATCGCCAAATGGTTAATCAACCTTTTTAAAATTATAAATTTAAAGAAAAATTGGCATATTTAATGAAAAATTGGCAAGAAAGGAAACTATTACTTAAGCAATGTTATGTAAAGATTGTCATTTTAGCATTGAAGGAAGACATGCTGGAAGATACTGTATGTTCAATAAACTCTAGAGATCTTACAATGTGTAAATTTAAGATATGGAACCACAGGCAGTATTATAAAACTTCATGTAGTTTTGGAGAAGGAATGATAAGTACCAGATAGTTAGGTGTTGAAGAGAAAAAAACAACCAAATCTGTATATTATCTAGAACACTGATTTAAGAATAATGATTCATTAATGGAGGAGGTCTGTTTGAGGAAAGTGTAAAATCAATATGTCAAAATAAAACAGTAGCCCCTTAGCAACATTTCATCTCGTCTTTGTCTGAGGTAGACGTGAATGTAGGGCCATTTTGGTTTGTCTGAGGAAAAGATGATCAGGTCTCTATGGCAGTGTGGTAAAGGACCATTTACTTCAGATCACTTATTCCATACAACATAAGGTTCAAATTCCTGTTTGGACTTAGTTTATAGCTATCAAGCTGGCTTGCAGAGTGATTATTGTTTTATTCAATTGCCCATTGCCAGAAATAGTGTATGGTGAGTCATCCAAGGTCTTCTGCCATTAAAACTGCAGTGTCATTATCTGTTTCTGCCTGTTCAGACGTGTATAACTCTTTATTTTAAACTTGCATTGGATGTTTAGAAACAAGTTTAATCTCATTCAAAATTAGCAGTATATTCAACATGTGAATAAAGGAAGTCTTCTAATGGTAGGATTATTCTGTCCTATCCAACAGAATTGGGCACTTGTTTTAAACTTGTTTAACTATAGACACATGTATGTAAATTTTCAGGTATTGCATGCCCAGCAAAAGTCAGATCAAGCATTGGCTACACTGGACAAAGCTATGGCCACAGATCCTAAAAACCCACTCTGTAAATTCCACAGGGCAACCATTTTGTTTGCTAAGCAAAAACATAAGGTTTGTTCATTATTATCTATTTTATAAGGTTTGTTCATTATTATCTATTTTATTATCTCTTAACATTAAACCTGCTTGACCCAAAGATATTGAGCCACCAGTATAGAGATATATATAGGCTGTATACCTTTCATAGCTCAATATTAGTAATACAAGGACTCCATTGAGTTTTTTTTGACATAACGGGACTGGAAATAATTTTTTGAGATTTATGTTCATTTTGATGAGGGTCAAGACCAATAACTTAACTCTGCGTAAACATAGGAGGCAACTAAATGAGTTTGAATTACTGCAATCTATGCATCTCTAAGCTCCAGCAGGTGAGGTGGTTTTGACCCCTCTTGTTGCTTTAAGTTTGTAACATCCGAGATTAGCCAGAAACATCTTTACTGTTTTGGCACCATATTTTTTACTAAAATTGTGTTGTGCCTCATAAACCAAACAAAACAAACAAAATGCTAGATCATTCTTAATCAGCAGACTTAAAGATATGAGACATATATAATTCACTCAGAGCAGTTTTAGTATTACGCACAATATTACCAACAGTGTGTTAATGTAATATTAAACAATAAAACAAACTGTTTAGAGCAAACAATTACAGTATACTGTGTCTGGATTAGAGTGAAGCAAATAATGCAGAGTAGAACCCGTGTTTTCATGGTGAAAGTTGCTGACTACATATGCCCCCTCACTCTTGTGGGTTTAAATCCAGACAGAATGTTTCATGTGAGGTAGCTTTCCAGCTCACGGAAGGTCGGTGGTTTTATTAAGGTACCAGCTTGTTGCTTAAAATAATGCACACTGAGGTCTTCCTCCCATCGTTTAAGCTGGATAGTCACAATCTTACCTTTACAATGTACAGTGTCATAGCATTGTTTCCTGCATATTAAAAGTGTATGTAATGCTACCTATATATATAACAGGAGGCCCTTGCTGAATTAGAAGAGTTGAAAAGAATTATTCCCAAAGAATCTCTCATTTACTTTCTTCTAGGAAAGGTAAGTTACATTCTCACTAGAAATGAAAAGAAATGAATTGTATGTTGTTGTCATATTTTGTATAAATTCTAAATAAGGATTACTGGTAATTTTATGATTTGTGCCTGCTTAAACATTTAAATGATGGTTACTAGAGTTTCTTAACCTTAACCTGGAAGCTGACTGGGGTGTGTTGTACACTGGAGGCAAAGCCAAATCAGTCTCAGTTGTAGCAGGTTAAGGGACTTTGAGGTAATTTAAAATAGTTTGTTGTGGGAGTTTAATAATGTTATGTTTTTATACATGTTATATAGTATAATGGTAAGTATGATCTAAATACCTGTTATGGTAAGTATGATATGAACATTTACATCTTTTTTCGCTGACTTACCAATAATTGATGAATAAAAATGTGTTACTGTGTATAATACAGTACAAAACCCACCTTTTAATTATAAAAAGACTGCCCAACTATTAAGAATTGAGCATTACTGATACATTCTGAAAAAAGGCAATTTTAGAAAAAATTTCCTTTGGTCACGTGAAATATTGATGATTTTTTCATAGTGAAATATGAAATTGAACACAATTATGGCAAATTATTTTTAGCTCACCCGTCACAAAGTGACAGGGTGAGCTTTTGTGATCGCTTTTCGTCCGGCCGTCCGGCGTCCGTCCGTCCGGCGTCCGTCCGTCCGGCGTCCGTCCGCCGTCCGTCCGTAAACTTTTACTTTAAATGACATCTCCTCATAAACCACTGAGCCAATTTCATCCAAACTTCACAGGAATGTTCCTTTGGTGGTCACCTTTAAAAATTGTTCAAAGAATTTAATTCCATGCAGAACTCTGGTTGCCATGGCAACCGAAAGAAAAAACTTTAAATATCTTCTTTTAAAAAACCATAAGAGCTAGAGCTTAGATATTTGGCATGAAACATCTTCTAGTAAGTGTCTACCAAGTTTGTTCAAATAAAAGCCCTGGGGTTAAAATTGGCCCCATCCCGGGGGGTCATTGATTTTCCCTATATGCATATAGTAAAAACTTAAAAAATTTTCTTTTAAAGAACCCAAAGAGCTAGAGCTAAGATATTTAGCATGAAACATGTTCTAATGGGTGTCTACCAAGTTTGTTCAAATAAAAGCCCTCGGGTCAAAATTGGCCCCGCCCCGGGGGGTCATTGATTTTCCCTATATGCATATAGTTAAAACTTAAAAAATCTTCTTTTAAAGAACTCAAAGAGCTATGGCTAAGATATTGAGCATCAAACATGTTCTACCAAGTTTGTTCAAATAATTATAAAAGCCCTGGGGTCTAAATTGGCACTGCCCCGGGGGTCATTGATTTTCCCTATATGCATATAGTAAAAACTTAAAAATCTTCTTTTAAAGAACTCATAGAGCTATGGCTAAGATATTTAGCATCAAACATGTTCTAATAGGTGTCTACCAAGTTTGTTCAAATAAAAGCCCTGGGGTCAAAATTGGCCCTGCCCCGGGGGTCATTGATTTTCCTTATATGTGTACAGAAAAAACTTAAAAAATCTTCTTTGAAAAAACCCAAATAGCTAGAGTTAAGATATTAAGCATGAAACATCTTTTAGAAAGTGTCTACAAAGTTTGTTCAAATAAAAGACCTGGGGTCAAAATTGGCCCTGCCCCGGGGGTCATTGATTTTCTATTATATGTGTATAGCAAAAACTTAAAATCTTCTTTGAAAAAACCCAAATAGTTAGAGTTTAGATATTAAGCATGAAACATCTTCTTAGAGTTTAGATATTAAGCATGAAACATCTTCTAGTAAGTGTCTACAAAGTGTGTTCAAATAAAAGCCCTGGGGTCAAAACTGGCTCGCCCCAGGGGTGTCATTGTTTTTAACTATATGTGTATAGTAAAAACTTTAAAAAAATCTTCTTTTAAAAAGCCCAATGAGCTAGAGCTGAGATGTTTAGCATGAAACATTTTCTTATGGGTGTCTACCAAGTTTGTGCAATAAAAGCCCCTGGGTTAAATTGGCCCTGCAACGTTGGGTTGGGGGGCCTATATACAGGTGAGCGACCTCAGGGCCATCATGGCCCTCTTGTTTAGATTTACCATTACACTGACAGTTTACACTTGGATGAACATAATGTTACTTTAATAATCTGACTGATGATGCCTTGTGAGTACAGTTAATATGGAGGCTGAGTGGCCTAGTGGTTAAAGTCACTGATTAAACAACTTGATCCTCATTGATCCTGTTGGTTCAAGTCCTGTCAGGGATTCTGGAATCTTTTATGCCAGAAAGCTATCTAGCTAGTTTACAGGCTGTTGGTGCTACTGAATTAATTTGTGGTGTAAGGGAACTAGAAGTCTTCCTCTACACCAAGCTTAATATTACCATATTACCCTAACAGTATCTGTGAATTTAAAAATAAAATGTATATTGATTTTTTCCCCGATACTTTGTTTTGAATGTCAGCTTTTTGTTATTTTAGGTTCATAAGAAACTTGGTAACACTGATTTATCATTAATGAATTTCTCGTGGGCAATGGATTTAGATCCTAAAGGATTGAACAATCATATTAAAGAATCTATAGAGAAGAGATTTAATGTAGAGGATGAAGACTCTCTAGTTAGACTCTATGAATCAGGTATGTTTATGATATTTAGTCCTTGAGTATATAAACTTCTTTACCTTCGTAATGTAACTAGCAGGAGTTTGGGGGTGTTTGTGACCAAGTGGTTAAGGTTGTTGACTTCAAACCACTGCCCCATACCGCTGTGGGCTCGAATCCCGACAGGGACTTTGGATTCTTTCATGTGAGGAAGCTAGATTACGAAACGTCGGTGGTTCTACTCAGGTGCCCGTTTGTGCTTGAAATACTGCAAGGAAGGGCACCTCGGGTCTTCCTCCACCAGTAAAGCTGGACATTGCCATATGACCTATAATGTGTCGGTGTGACGTAAAGCCCAATTAAACAAACAAAAATAAACTAGCAGGAGTTATTTCAAACCACTCACTCACCACTGAGGGTTCAGTCCTGCCATAGACTGTTGGATTCATTCATGTGAGAAAGCTATCCAGCTAGGTTACAGAACGTTAGTGGTTCTAATCCGACGTCTGTCACAACCTGAAATCTTGCACAGAGGGGCACCCAACGTCTTCCTCTACCAATAAAGCTTGAAAGTTGCCATATAACATGTTCTTTTCAGATGCTAATATGGTGCTTTGATACATGTCTCAATGAGGTATTTTGTAGGGTTACCCCCCTCTCCCAGTGATAAATACTGGGAATTTGCTTTTGTAAGAATGTTTGTTAAAAACCCAACATGTAATAATTTGAAAATGTTCTTTATATGTAAGAAGTATCTTAATTATATACTTCTAAATGAAATGATGAGAAATATTGATGAAATTAAATGTATATTTTCCTTTTTCCCTATTTTCGCTTTTAAAATATATATTCCACTGCAGTGAAACATACTTTCCATATTTTCACAGGTGTCTTAATTGATTATTTTCTTCTTAATTCAGTCAATTCACAAAATAAATGGAAATTACTGATTTGAACTGATTTACTTACTAATAAACATATTTACTATAATCATTCCTATGCCTATAAATTTTTGGATGCTATTTTTAGATATGCCAGAAGTAGCGGCATCGGGTAGTAATTCGTCATTGATGGATGCAGACGACATGTTACAGGCTGTTGAAAGTGACGAGAGTTTATGACAAAGGCTGACAGATTATACGATAGAAAACATGTCTTCAGTTTAGGCCATATAAACCAGCTTAGATCATATAAACCAGTTTAGGTTATATAAACAGCTGACACTGTGGTATATACTGTGTGTGATACAGATAATGAACAAAGTTCTGACTGAATGGTGAAAAGACGAAGATATAAAGACTGTCCTTCTTAAAGGAGATTATTGACTGTTGGGTGATACTTCTGGTGATATATCTTTGTGCTGATATTTATCTAGGGAGATATAATACATCTCTATGTCTTAATGGTTTTATATATGAGTGCTGGAAATGTTTATCCCTATTGTAACAAGTCTCTATGGTGAAATCTTTGGTGATATGTATTTATAGAGATATATATCTCGACTGTAGTATGTCACTATGGTGATATAATCCTCTAGGGTGATACATATATGTATTTATAGAGATATATATTTATGGTAGTAAGGCACAGTGGTGATATAATTCTCTAGGGTGATGATACATGTACATGTATTTATTTATAGAGATATAAGTCTATTGGTGATAAAAATCTCTTTGGTGATGTATAATTTGGAAGTTATATGTCTCTATTGTAATAAAAGTGGTAATATAAATCTCTGTAAAGTCAGTGGTTCTACGCAGGTGTCTGTTTGTGCCTGAAATAATGCATGGAAGGGCACCTGAGCCATATCACTTGCTGGTGTGACTTAAAACCCAACCCAAAAACAAACAACAATTTTAAATGATGCTTCTGTTTGAAGATATAAGCCTATATGGTTATTAAAGCCTTTATGGTGATTTTTATAGCTTCTATGAAGATACAAGTATTATAGAGATTATTGTGGGTTGTTTTTTTTGCAATAGGGTTTTATAAGTTCAAAGTTATGATAAACTCCATCCTATAGCCTCTTTTTACAAATTACATGTCAGTGTTATAAAGGAAATGAAAGTCACTGATGGAGATATTTTCCTCACTTTTTACTTTTTAAACTTTTTTTAAATTTTCAAATGGGATTAACTTCATAAGCAGGATTTATTTTTCAAGAATAATTGTTTTATCAATGGAATGTTACTCAGACAAAATATTTCATCTTTTTAGTTAATTTACACTTTGAATTTAAAAGGGATAATATACTGGAAATACATAGTAAATGTTATATAAATATGTAAGATTAATTTTTTGATTTGTATAGTCATATGTATAAGGGAAGTGGACATCTTTGGCTTAATAACTTAAGTTAATTCTTTCATCTTACTATTGGGCTAACATCATTAACATCATGAATAATTTTTAGAAAAATTATCAAAATAATGTAGGGACTAAATAACCAACAGTATTAATATTTATAATTCAGGCATAAAGACCAAATAGATGACTGTGTAAAGGATAGTACTTAGTTTTGTTAAGGATAGTTCTTTCAGCCAGTTTGGGTAGCTGAGTATAATTCTTGATATTTACAAAGCAGTGGATAACAGGGTCTATATATAAAGTATCTGTGTGGCAAACATTGTCCAGGCTTTAGAATATTTTCCCAACATAGTTTTGGGTTTATTCTTTGCATTTAAAAGTTTCCTGTTACATAACCATATGACATTACAGGTAAAAGACAATTCTCGCTTGTCTTGTTAAACAACTGTTAGAGATTGCATTTGATAATTGAGCAGCGCCATGACAAAACCAACATAGTGCATTTGCATCCGCGTAGTCTGATCAGGATCCATGCTGTTGGCTTACGAACCCTATAACAAGTAGAGAAACTGATAGGGAACAGCATGGATCCTGATCAGACTGCGCGGAAGCGCAGTCTGGTCTTGATCCATGCTGGTCGCAAATGCACTATGTTGGTATTGTCGTGACGCGGCTCATATAATGCTGATGTGATTGTACATCTTGGTCCAGTTACTTAAAATTGATAGAAAAATGAAATAAAGTTAAAAAAGGAATAATAGTCGTACACAGAAATTCTTCAGGGGAATAATCATTCTAAAATAGAGACAAAAATGAATTAATGTATAAAATTAGAACACTTTCATTTGATGTATACAAAGAAAGAATGTTTCAATATGGTTATACTTGTATGAGATTAATTTGGGATGATTTTTTTACATATTTGTATTTGTAACAGATTTTACCTCTTATACAAAATTGCTTGCAGGGATATATTTTTTTTTTTGTAAAAGCTCGCTATTAATTGCCTGTAGCTTCAATGTAATTAGTTGGAAAAATGCTAGATTCATTCATAGATATAATGATATCCCATACAGTAGCTCTCATCAATAAATTAAAATTTACATGTATATATCTATTATCTTTTGACCTTTTTGCTTAAATCAATATGTACATTTATTCACTTATATTGGCACTTACTAGTGGCCGTTTGAATTATTTATGAATTATTTTGTATTTGAATTACCTTCGGGAATTCTAACAAATCGTTTTTTTTCATAGATTCAACAATGATAATTTTTTTTAGATGAAATCTTCCATAGAATATTGTTACTGCATTGTATAAGAGAAGTTTAGAGTTCTTTTTTTTTTTGCATTTATTTTTTTCAAAAATCTATTTAGCATTCATTCATACCTGCACTGGTTAGTCTCTGTTTTCAATGATTTGAGCCACATCATGACAAAACCAACATAATGGGTTTGCGACCAGCATGGATCCAGACCAGCCTCCGCATCCGTGCAGTCTGATCAGGATCCATGCTGTTCGCTTACAAACCCTATACCAAGTAGAGAAACTGATAGCGAACAGCATGGATCATGATCAGACTGCGCAGATGCGCAGGCTGGTCTGGATCCATGCTGGTCGCTAACGCACTATGTTGGTTTTGTCGTGCGGCTCATTTATCTATCAAATTGATCTATCAAATTGCATTTCAACAAGCATCTAGAATTCTGCAAATTAATTATACATACATTTACCATGTGGAAAAAGACTGCTTTTGAAATATTATACAATAAGAATAAACATTTTATGTTTTAATAACACCTCAGATAGTTTTTGTATAAAACTGAAATAATTAGTTTTTTATTAAATGACAAATCAGTTTGCAAACTTTTTTTACGATTTGAACTGTACCAAACTTTGGTTCATAGCAGTGTTTAGGAGAAAGTGTATTTATAAGGGACTTTGGATTTTAATGTGAAGGTCCTATTTAGCTAGCTTAAGGAATGTCAGTGGTTTTACTCCTGTGACGGTTTCCTGTATAAAATAATTAACAGATGGGCAAATTAGCTCTTCAGCCATATCAAGCTTTAAAATAGAAACTAAGTATAGAAACTAAGTGAAATACAATAGAAAGTATGTGAGTTATCATTGAAACAAAGTGAAATATACATAGAAATGAACTGAAATATACATAGAAACTAATTAAAAGTCACCAAGAAACTGAATGAAATTAACATGGAAACTTAGTGAAATACATTGTTTGCATTGAAACTAAGTTAGATACAATAAGAAACATATTAAAATATATATACACATAGACATGGAGGTTGGGATAGGGGTGGGGGTGTAAAATGAAGATGATAACCATATCGCATAATGTTTTTATTTTTTTTAAAGTTAAGTAGGTTATTCCCACTGGCTAAATAATTTGATTGTAAAAAAAACACCAAAAAACAAAACAGTTATTCTTATGAATAATACAGTTTTGACAATAAATAAACCTTTTGATGAGATTTGCTTGAGAAAGGAAGTCAGGTTGTAGGGGGAATATTTTTATCTTGTGTAATGATTCAGAAATTCTATATATCCTTTGTAATATTTTTGTTATTGTGATGTATTTAATTTATTGACCTTTGTATAGCAACTTGATTGATTGTATAGAAAATATTGATAAATGTAGTGATTGATTGAAAAAATGTGTAGATTATAATTATTCAATGTTTTTTTCGGACCAAGGAGAATTGGTCAAGTTACATTTTGTTATTGAATGAATAAAAGTGCACCCTTTTTTATAAATTTATTTTGTATGTTCATGTTCGACAAATACAAAGTAAATAAATATTTAAAAGATTCATAGTGTTTTGGTTTTCATTTGTGGACTTTTAAGCTCATTTGAGCTTCACTAAGTTAAGCTCACTAAGATCAATCAGTTTGGCGTCCATGTGAAGTTCATCAGTTCACAGGTCACAGTTTTGATTGATCTTCATTGTAATCATGTCAGAGGTCATCGGATTTGTTCGAATATAGGTCAATTGTGACAAAAACTAGGTCACTGGGTCAAATAAGTCTGTTTGCACTAACGGGAGAGTAGGAACAATAGGAAACTGTATTTTCTCTTTTGAAATTAATGTCATTCATTCCTTAAACTGTTTGTGGTTATATGTATTTCATTTTGCAAAAAAAAAACAAAAACAAAATAAACAATGGAATAGACACAAAGTATTGTTCCGCTAGAACTTCGTCTGTCAGAATGCCTGCAACATGTTCAAGTCCGCTCCATAACTATTAAACTATTGACAAGTTTTGAAATATCTTGGTACAAATAACACCATCATAAGACGATGTTCAGAACGCAACGACCAGGTCATCACCACCAAGGCAAAGGTCATTCTTAAAAGGGAAATAAAGACCATATTTTGTGAACGGTCCATAAACTTTTTAACTACTTTAAAGTTTTAAAATCACTTGGAACAAGCCGGGTTGCTTCTCCGGAGGTCAAGGCTAATTTAAGTAAGAGAATTATACCGCCGCCCTTCAGACTGCCTTATTTGAACTTGTTACAATTTTTAATCTTCATGAACTCCGTCAGAATTATAATCTCAATGATATCTCGGATGAGTTCGGAAACGGGTCATCTTATTTAAAAAAAACTAGGTCACATTTAAGAAAATGGAGGTGAAGAAGATTGTTTAAGGTTCACATTTATATATCTTCCAATGTTACTTTTTGATACATAAGACTATCAGCTCACAATCTGGAAATAGAAAAGGGAAGTCACGATAGTATTTTAAGAGAAAACAAGTAGATTCATGTCGGAATTGTAATTTCTTTCCGTTATGTTATGTTTAGTTTATGTTCATGATGTTAATGTACAAAATTAGAATCCTTTATAAATAAGAATTCTCTTTAAAAAAAAAAAAAAAAAAAAAAGTGACATACATTTTGCCTGTCATTTTGCCTGTCAGTATTAAAAGAACATACATCGTTAATTTGGTTTAAAAAAACAGTGGCTCAAGTGAAGCATATATACAACTGTTACGTCACCCTTAACTTATTGAAAATACTGTACTTCTTTGCTATTTAAAAACTGTTAAGATATATTTTTGTTTTTAATGCTCGTCCATATGGTCTCTTTTCGGTGGCGAGGGAAAACAAACACACACGCACGTACGCACACACGCACACACACGCGCGCGCGCATTCTTGTTTTATGTGGGAGAGTAGCTTTAATAGGAATATACCTAAGAAGGGCTTCTGGGTCAATGTTGCAGGTGCTAAATATGGATTTTTACACCTTTATTTATCGACTGATGTCTCTCATATTTGGTAGGTAGATGCCATTAGATAGTTTTCTAACTTTAGACGGAGTTTGTGGTCCCTTGTTCAAACCGTATTACCGGCGGCAGTGATGTCAGATTACTGCAGTGATGGCAGATATCTGCAAATTACCGATCGATACAGGTAGGTTATAAATTTGGTTGGTTTAATTTTATCACACAAATACGGTCCATTTCATTGCTATAAAACTATTGTCCATTGAATGGAGATACTGTAAGGTAATTTTGGACTCGTTTTTTTCCTGTTTTAAGACTATTTTGTTTTGAGCAGGTTAAAAGTGACAGTCTCGGAAAAATCCGTGAAAATGTCTGTTTTCTGTTCAAAATATCTCAAGTTTTAAGTAAATGGCAGGATTTCCTGTAATCAATATAGACGTTCATCCATTGGGGTCACGCAAGCCAAATATCTACCCCGTGAGTCTTTTCTTGAAAGTTTTACAGACGCTCAATCTTGTCCGTTCGAAGAAAAAATGCTGCCGTTGTAGGCAGATACATATTATAAATGCTGCCGTCGATGGCAGAAATACCATGAATGTGGCTAACATTCTGACAGAAAATCAAGTTCAATCTTTTATCAATTCCTCTTTTCTTTGCGTCCTTTTAGTCGGAATTGAGACGTTAAACTATCATTTCTAATATTTTCTCAAGATAAAAAAGTTATTAATGCGGTATGTGCATCGAAAAAAGCTTTTTAGCAACATACAGTAACAATACAAAAAGTGATGATTTAGTACGACAAAATTGCAGTATAAATAGAGAAATGAACATGAAAAACTTCATTTTTCTATATTCATGCATGTGTGCTTGATCTGTTGTGTCTGTCAGTTACATGCATACAATACTATATGTATCAGCAGCGCACTCCCTTTTTAAGACATAACACCAATTGCATATTACAGCAAGTAACTTCTGTAAGTGGATATTCATTTGCTAGCATATGACATTATTTTCTCGAGGTAATAATGTTCATCGCTTTATGACAAATAAAGGCTGAAATTTACTTAATCGGTGCAGATTATAAGTTATTAAATTGATGTAATAAAGGGGAGACTATTAACCTCGCAACTGGCATCAGTGTATCATAAAACAATGTATGTTAATGTAAAATGGAAAGATAATATTATTGACAGTTCAAATATTTTCCTATATTATCAAGTTCTTGAAAAACACGACAATATGGATTCATTTCTTTAAATTTTCATGTATGTAATCGCGTTGTATTTTGCCTTAGAATTACATTTACTATGCTAAACTATTAACAACAGTTCTAACATCACGTGCTCCCATTTAACTATATATTTTTTCATTCATTTTAGTTGTAACCATGACAACTTATAAAGATGAACCTTTCGATGATTCAGACGAGGCAATGGCTCCAATACTGTGTACATCTTGTGCATTCAAATGTTTCCTCGCTGGAAATATTTTCTTAGATGTCTTTTCAGTAAGACTGTGGTCTTGTAACCTCTGCCACAAATGTCACAGTCAAATATCTCACTATTAACAGTCTCCTTTAAAGATACATCAAGAAACGAGCCATCTAATCAGTTGCGAGGTTAATAGACTCCCCTTAATTACATCAATTTAATAACTTATAATCTGCGCCGATTAAGTAAATTTCAGCCTTTATTTGTCATAAAGCGATGAATATTATTACCTCGAGAAAATAATGTCATATGCTAGCAAATGAATATCCACTTACAGAAGTTACTTGCTGTAATATGCAATTGGTGTTATGTCTTAAAAAGGGAGTGCGCTGCTAAACTTAATATACATATAGTATTGTATGCATGTAACTGACAGACACAACAAATCAAGCACACATGCATGTATATAGAAAAATGAAGTTTGTCATGTTCATTTCTCTATTTATACTGCAATTTTGTCGTACTATATCATCACTTTTTGTATTGTAACTGCATGTTGCTAAAAAGCTTTTTTTCGATGCACATACCCACACCGTATTACCGGCGGCAGTGATGGCAGATCACTGCAGTGATGGCAGATATCTGAAAATTACCGATCGATACAGGTAGGTTATAAATTTGGTTGGTTTAATTATAATACACAAATACGGCCCATTTCATTGCTATAAAACTATTGTCCATTGAATGGAGATACTGTAAGGTAATTTTGGACTCGTTTTTTCCTGTTTTAAGACAATTTTGAGCAGGTTAAAAGTGACAGCCTCGGAAAAATCCGTGAAAATGTCTGTTTTCTGTTCAAAATATCTCAAGTTTTAAGTAAATGGCAGGATTTCCTGTTTATCAATATAGACGTTCATCCATTGGGGTCACGCAAGCCAAAATATCTACCCCGTGAGTCTTTTCTTGAAAGTTTTACAGACGCTCAATCTTGTCCGGTCGAAGAAAAAATGCTGCCGTTGTAGGCAGATACATATTATAAATGCTGCCGTCGATGGCAGAAATACCATGAAAGTGGCTAACATTCTGACAGAAAATCAAGTTCAATCTTTTATCAATTCCTCTTTTCTTTGCGTCCTTTTAGTCGGAATTGAGACGTTAAACTATCATTTCTAATATTTTCTCAAGATAGAAAAGTTATTAATGCGGTATGTGCATCGAAAAAAGCTTTTTAACAACATGCAGTTACAATACAAGTGCGAAAAAATTGCACTATAAATAGAGAAATAAACATGAAAAACCTCATTTTTCTATATTCATGCAATGTGTGCTTGATCTGTTGTGTCTGTCAGTTACATGCATACAATACTATATGTATCTTAAGTTTAGCGGCGCACTCCCTTTTTTAAGAACATAACGCCAATTGCATATTACAGCAAGTAACTTCTGCAAGTGGATATTCATTTGCTAGCATATGACATTATTTTCTCGAGGTAATAATGTTCATCGCTTTATGAAAAATAAAGGCTGAAATTTACTTAATCGGCGCAAATTATAAGTTATTAAATTGATGTAATAAAGGGGAGACTATTAACCTCGCAACTGGCATCAGTGTATCATAAAACAATGTATGTTAATGTAAAATGGAAAGATAATATTATTGACAGTTCAAATATATTTCTATATTATCAAGTTCTTGAAAAACACGACAACGTGGATTCATTTCTTTAAATTTTCATGTTTGTAATAGCGTTATAGTTTGCCTTTGAATTACATTTACTATGCTAAACTATTAACAACAGTTCTAACATCACGTGCTCCCATTTTACTATATATTTTTTCATTCATTTTAGTTGTAACCATGACAACTTATAAAGATGAACCTTTCGAGGATTAAGACGAGGCAATGGTTCCATTAGATGGCTCGTTTCTTGATTAATCTTTAAAGGAGACTGCTATAATAGTGAGACATTTGACTGTGACATTTGTGGCAGAGGTTACAAGACCAAAGTCTTACTGAAAAGACAACTTAGAAAACATTTCAGCGAGGAAACATTTGAATGCACAAGATGTACACAGTATTGGAGCCATTGCCTCACTGTAGATTTATTTTTCACTGCAGCGAAACATATTTTCCGTATTTTGAATGGT